TATACTTAATTACATCTGTCTAGTTTTTTTCCTGCAACCTTGTTCTTATCTAGATATACATAACAACACGGGTAAACGTGAATGAATATATTTTTTTGTATGTATGCATTTATTTGAACACATACTTGATAATTCTATACATTTCATGTATACCCTACAGTAGAAAATAATTATTTCAAATATAAATAAAAGTTATTGTATGCTTATCATGGGTATGTAGTTGGTATATACACAGAATACATATGTAAACACACGTAATAATATGTTTTATATTATAGAATTATTTTAAAGCTGTTATCAATTGTATAACATAATAATTCTCCACTATTCCTACCTTTTATTAAAAAAGTTATTAAATCTTTAGATTTTTGTTGCAGATATTGATATTCCATTTATAGGATTATTAATATTGTGCTGATTTCATAAATAGACTTCTATACTATATTATTTTATACTATAATTTTTATATTAAAACATATATACAGTTATATATGATTTAATATTATTAATGCAAATTTTATTGGACGTTTATCCATTCCGTTACACTTGATAAGTTTGAGTGCTGCTAAATAATAGTGTTAATAATTCTGGATCAGTCAAATTTTTTCTGTACTTTTGTACCATTTCTTGGATTTTTAAACGCCTACGTACGTGCGGCGGATGATAGCTGTAACACACCATAAATGCTGAATGTATTAATGTTCTCTAATAAAAGATTTCGTTCATTCCTACGTACCTATCGTTATCTAGCCTTTTTCTACGTCCCATATTCAACGCCGTTTGCCTAACAAGCGTTCCTAATACCCTTCTCGACACAACCATCCCATCAATTAAAGGGGTAGCTAAATTGATTCTAGAAACCGGACCTTGTAATCTAACTCTCATTAATCCGCTACTGAGCGCTTGGAGAAAAATAACTTGCACGTCCGGTGGTTGGATTATTCTAGTCTGTTCAAGACCGGTATACGTACAAGAGAGAAGATCACCTGTAAAATTTTACCGTGTAATTTTAATTTCAATTATGAAGTAATTAAAAAATAAAAGTACCAATTGGAAATTGGGCATAGTCCTCCAAACTTTCTAGCCAAACGACCATGATTTTAATGTCACTTTGCACAGGCAAAACTTGTTTTGTAGTTCTTCTTGGCTTAACTGGATCCGCGCTAGAGGAACTGGACGGGCTAGATCCTGTTAAACTTGGGGGCTGCTTTTCTAGATCTAATGACATGGCCCGTGAAGTTTGTATAGTACTCTGGCCTGTCCCATAATTCCGGTAACTGTTACTGTCGTTAATACTTTTCTCAAACCAAACTGCAATGATTACACGTTTACTATGATATATGTTAATGCATTTTTTCCATCAATACCATATTTGATACCTTGATTAGCACTAATATCGCTAGAATAACTTGCTTCTTCTAATGAGTCTGAACTCAACATATTATTTGATTGAGTTGGCACAACAAATGCAATTTCTGAACTAACGTCTGCCCAATAAAGCACATGGGTATCACCATTGTACAAAGCTCCACCATGATCACTGTGGGCTGGTTGTGGTACATTTAATTGTGGAGTCACCCTCCACGATGTGGAAACATGGCCTGTCCAACCAGCATGTGCTGATACCGACACTGGCCATCCAAGGGAATTTAAAAATTCCAAAAAATTTGGTGATACGTTTGCTTCGTGCAACTATAAAAGCAAAAGTTTTTTATATAGATATGTGTATTTAATATTGTGACGATTAAAATCAAAATAATTCTTACTACGTTAGACAATATTTCTGTCGCAGTTTTCTGGCCTGCTTTAACATAAAAAATGTATACGGTGTCACACATTCTTGGACTAATGTTATCCAAAGTTTCTAAATCCTGACAAAATCCTGGAATAGTCGGATCTAATGCAATTAGGCCATTATTTCTTGATTCGTCGTCCTCTTTAGGCTCCATGTTCAAGAAGCCAAAGTGGCTTAAAAAGAGACGCGCAGTTTGAAACTCATGACAAATTTGTGGAGGTACGCACTCCTCTGTTTTCTCATCGGATGCTTTCTCATTTGCATCGCAATACTTTGACTCAATGTTCATTTGACGTTCCAATAACTGGGACAACGTTTGATGCTCATTTCTTACCACGTTGTTGTCATTCATGACTGCTTCGAGACTTGGTATTGATTCATCACTGAAAGAGAGAAGTTAATGAGCTTAACCAACATTAATTCTCAACATTTCAATAAAAATATAAAAACGTACACTTTGCAGTGAGGAATTCGATCAACATTATCAGGGAAGAATTTAGGTTTATAATCGGTTCTTGGAGCAGCTTCTGCTAATGGCAGTGGTCGACCGGGATTTGTAGTTATACTTCTTATACTTGATCTATGTCTTGGCAAATGTCGAAGCTGCATTGTCCATGCGTGTCTACCAAATGGTCCACGTATTAATACTGTGACAGTGGGTTGCGGATCTTGATCATTTCCAAGTGGTTCCTCCAATAAAGCTAATATAGTAGCGTTTTCGGCAACGAAGTAACGAAATCTTTCAACTGCTGCTTGACGCGGTACTCGACCACCTGTCCAGCTATTGCAATGTCGAAGAAGCGAAACTTCATCTAATAAAGATGACAATGACTGTGCTCCACATGCGCTTGGAAAATAGCCAACCTATAATCGTAATGATTTGTTTAAAAGATTGTCACTATAGAAAACGTAAATCTGCTAGAAAGCAAATCATTTAGAATGTTACTTGTTCGAGAATAACAGTAAGCAGTGCTTCAGCTGCATCCCTGACGCGCATAGAAGCTGGTTTCAGTTCTTTTTCATCTTTCATTTTAATAGGTTCTCCAGGCTTCCCTACACTTTTCGTTCCTGATACGCCAAGCTCGACGACTTCCAAAACTGTTGTTAAGCAATCTTTATCCTGGAAATGTAATTACAATTAATTAATTACAACTATCAGACTAAAGGATAAAGAGTACTAACTTGTAATAATTGTGAATGAGCTGTTAACCAAATAGTTAAGCAACTGAAAGCAGCAACAATGGATGAATGAAGATCCTTTGAGTGAGCTGGAGGAGGACGCCAACATTGATAGGCAATATAATCGCAGAGCCATTTTACAGCACGTTTGCATTCCAATGCATCTGTAAAATTTTGTAAAATTGAATAATGCTGCTTCAATATATTTGTACAATAAAATATAATATGACCTGTTAATTTCCTTGCTGCATGTAATACAGATTATTTCGTATTACAGATTGGAAGGTTCACAAATTTTAAAAATTGTTTTGATAAAATGTGCGTACCTGTTTCACGTATGCGTGTTCTTGCCAATCCAGATAGTATTTCAAGAGCTGCCAATGAAATGTTTAGGTCCGTTTTCCATGACGATATTAATCTATGGCAAACCAAATATGTTGCTCGTACCGAAAGCGCATGAGCCGAATCTGCAATAACGTCTCAAATTTTTAATCATAACTATTCAACTTTCAAGATATCATTGCGTAATTAGATATATGATAAAGTCTTTCAAAATGCAAGCCTGTATACAGAACTGTCCAAAAAAGCTTGAATGTGTAACAGAAATACAGAAATGAATAAAATAAGATGATATTTAACGATATTTCGTATGAGCACAGTAATAGACTGCTGAATTACTTAGAAATATGTACTTGTATTTACCGAATGCAATACACTCCTCTTGAAGAGTTGCAATATCAGAGGCCTCGCCGAGCGATCGTTGATCACTGGATATACTTATTTGACTGGCTGAATCGCTGGTGACTATCAAGCGATGATGAGACGGTACACAATGGCGAATGCACAACAAAACACAACTCATAATAATACAAACGAATGACGTATCACACAAGCACGCATAAAAGCAAATAGAGTATAATTAAAAGTAATAAGCATCATGATCTTACATCGCATAAGTATGCCTGTATCTCTAGACTTTTGTATGCAAGCGACTGGAAGATATTAATGAGCTGCCATATCAAACAACAGAACATTAACTCCAGAATAAACTATTGCTGGAATTATGCAGCTTACAATTACTTTTCAAGTATGAATACGAATGATAATTAATCTCAAAAGATTTAAAACGGTGCATTCAGTATTTGTATATAATGTATACAAGCCAATGTTCCTTGAATCGCAAAAGACAACAAACCTGATGATAATAAATTGACGGTGGAATCATGAGCGATAGTATCGGGTTGAGTGACTTGTTCTACTTCTTCTGCTGCCGCAGAGTCTTGTACGCTTAATAATAGAGCCCCTAGAAAACAAGAGTATTAACAATTTAATTGCGAATGCTCCAATAAATTGAGTTTCTGACTTGCCTAATAACATATGAGTATTCTGAGGATCGGTTTCAACTTGCAGTGCGTTTATAAGCAAGTTCATAAGTCTTGATTTTAATTGTGCAAATGTTACGTGACCTTTGTCCGGAATCATTGGATTCGAAAACGATGGCAATTCCTTAATAGTCAAATTCTACAAAGATGTTACATATAATTGTTACACGTGACACAATAGATACAAATATAAATGTGATTGATAAAATTAAACTAGTTACTTGAAAATGAAGCGGTAGCGCCAACATCGATATTAATAAATGTATGGAGGCTCTACGTAAATCAGGTTTTGAGACTATGCTGGACTTTAACTTTAAATCCTTTTCCGGAAGTACAGTTTCCAATGCTGATATCACCGCAGGCACTACTACTTGTACTCCATTTAAGTCTAAACGAAATAAATCCGCAGAATTCAAAAGAATGCTCGCTAACGTTTCGCCGCATTCACGAGACTGCAAATAAATTAGTAAATTAATATTGCATGCATTTTTATAAGAACTATGTTCTGTAAATAAATGATTACCTCGTCAACTTTGAGTCCGTGCTGCATCGCTTGATAAAATCTAGCTAAATACACCGGTAAAATTTCTTCTCCAGTCTTTTTAGAGCAAAATATTCTACACAGTGCACCCAACGCTTCTGCTCTTCCAGATTCGTAACGATCTATGCAAAGTGTTGGTGGAACATCGTTAATTGGTTCTTGTAATGAACTAGGACCTTCGACAAGTACAGAAGACGGACGTTTCGTCGCACCCGATGGTTCTGTGTAATAATAAAAGTAATAGTTATAACTATCCAACGCATTTGATTATTTAATATTTACGTGGTAAATTTTGTGACCATCCATCGGTGCCTATAAATGCAGCTTCGAACAACCATTCCCCAAAAAGATGCAATATACTATTGCATTTTGGGCGCCCCGGAGCTAAAGGAGGTCTGATGTCTTGGACCAAGGATGTCATAGCTGAAAAAATGAAAACAACAAATAATATTATAAGTTCGACATTCTATGTAATCAATATTTATGAAATCTTACAGGTTGTACTCGAAGCAGATGAAGGACCAGAGTTTGATATTAACATGGGTGGTGTACTAGAAACACGACTCGTTGTTAAGCCAATTAAAGAAGCTTTTGGAATTCCTACAATTGGAAAGAATAATGAAATTTATTTTATATATATCAAGCAATTTTTTTATAATACTTTGCTAAGAGAAGAAATAATTTAAGATACATATATATGTATATACAATTAATATACAACATCACTGAATTTCAATGATGCAATTACAAAAGATCAGAAGAGAAGTGCTGAATACCCTTAGTGACGGCAGAAGGAGTAACACTGAAACTTTTGGCAAGTCTGCGCTGTGTTGGAGGTGTAGGAGAAGGCTGTGTCAGATCTTTGCCACTTGATTTGTCCCACCCTACACCCCCACTGCCAATACTAGCAGATCCAGATGCCATAGAAGAAACGCAACACTCTTCCCAGCAACATGCCTGTGAAACTCCTAAAACATTTATGACTGCGTGCAACCATCACCAGGAAAGTAAGCTGGAGAGTAAATGTGCTACTTTTGAAAGTAGAAACAGGTTAAAAAAATTATTATCTGCGATATCTGTGGCAATAATGTACAACTTATTTTTATAATTCATGTAACATCGATCGTGTCTTTCTATTACAACTTTATACATAATATAATCGGTGACATTTACTTACCAAGAAAAGCATCAACTTGACCTGCTATACCTTTTATGGCTTTCAGAAATATTTGTGGTAAACTTTGTAAGCAAGGATGCTGACAAGGATCTATGACGTTTGGACTTGCAATAGCATACTGTAAAAATGCCTGAGTTTGCGAAACAACGGCCGGTCTACATAAATCTACAGGGTCTCCTATAGTTCTTAAAAGTCTGTACCATGCTTGAGCTACCGCTTCATCCGACATTGTAGGTGGTACAAGCTGAGAGTCTTCTTCGCCTAAACATATAATTATATATTAGAAACTACTAATATCAATGTTACAATAAATTACTAATAAGATTAACTAACTTATTTTTAGTTCCGGGAACATTGGGCCATACATAATTTGTAATAATCTTGCAGTAAGAGCAAGACAAACGCGATTCCATTGTTCTACCAATGCTAATCTGTGCCTCCATCGAAGACAAGACTCCCGTAAAGTACGCCATAACGGTGGAGAAGGGAAATTACGTTCACAGGCCACCAGCCAAACCTGAAACAATTTTGTATACATTTAGTAGTGTTTAGAATATGCTTAACATTAATACATTTTTACAGCGCATTATACCTCTAAAAGTACACCTAGAACTCTTTCACATAACTGTTCTCCAGCATCTTCCCTGGTTGCTGGAGGAGCTAAAAGGGCATCATTAATTCCAATCAAAAACAATAGCAAGCTTTCCCACGTTTCCCTTTCTAAATTTGCTGGACCTCTTGCAATTTGTTGTAGTGTTCTAAGTACTCTATGACACAAAACAGCCTGTCTATTAATTGTGTCAGTTCCTATAAATAATATTCAATGTTTTACAGATGCACTCTATGTATAATTTACTTATAAAAGTATTAATCTATTAAGTAAGAAATATAGTTCTTTCAAGTACAAATTACCTAGATCCTGATATAAAAATGGCCAGACTATGAAAAAAAAGATCATTGCAGACTGTTAGATGTAATTCTTCATAATTTGATAAATAATTTCACTAATGCGAAGTGGCTTATGAATTTATTACATAGAAAAAGAAGAAAGAAGAAAGCATGAAGCTATTAACTTTACCTTCTCCTTTTCGTGGAACAAATAAATTATGGAAATGGCTTATTATTTTTCTGGCATAGAAATTAGGATCATCTATAATAGGTGTAGGTACACAAATCTTTGGTGTAGAGTACAATGCTGATAGCCATTCGCAATACACATTAACACAGTCTCTGACTGTATCATGTTCAGCCAAGGGCAAAGATAATCCAAAACATATCACTTCCATACACCATTGCACTTCTTTATCTGTGCACAATGGACTAGGCTCGGCTGCTTGGGTTATACCAAGATTTGCCGCTAGTTGACGTACAATGGACAAAGCTACTTCTTTTCCTGCTCCAGGAGAGAATTTTTCTAGCACACTTTGACTTTCTTCCGAACCTTGTTGAACTAAAATGCTTAGAGAAGCCCATTCGGAATACATTCCTCCTTGGGAGTCCTAAAATATATAAACATTAATATACAATACTATCAAACGAACAAAAGGCAAATAATAGAAAACGAAAAATTACCTTAAGATTAACTCTATTAAATACGCCTAAATTCATAGATTATTATACACTTTCGACGTCCTATAATTAAGAACTAATAAAGAGAAAGTAAAATCTCACATGTATCTTTTTAACCTTATTTATAATAGAGCGCTGCTCATTTTATATGATATGTGTAAAAATCGCACGGTCAAAGTGCAAAGTTATACATAGTTTTGCAAGTAGTCGATGTTATAAAATTTATGTACATATATAAACTTTGACATTTGGACGTATATTATTTGACAGGTAGACACCGCCATGAATATAGCAATCATTAGGCCCACAATTTCTATTGGTCATTTATATACAGCCCACAGTGTATAATTAGATTAATTAGGAACCCCGATTTTTTTCCCCTACGAATACATATATCCCTATGGTAAATATTGTTATACGAAATTATGTATATACATGAAGTCGAATGTATTAATGTTATATTAGTACAAATTACAAAGTAATTGGCCAAATAATATTTAAATATTTATTATAAGAACAATAGAATATTTTACTTCTCTCAGTAAATTAAGTATGTATCAGTAAATTTCAAGAAAGATATTTTTTAACGTATAGTTAAAGTATTTTGGAACAGAAAAAATAACTAACAGACCGAGTAAACTGTGTAAAACAGAGGGTACATATTAGGAGTGATTTATATCCACGTATAAAACATTAAGCGCTTGTAAAAAATGAAGATTCACAAATCAGAAATTGAAGCTAAAAGATTGTATGATTTATTCGTTATATAAAACAAATTTTGATTGGATGATTTTCTACCGGTAAGGTAGACAGGAGATATAGGAGAATCTTTGCTTGTTGGCTCTACCTACTGGATAGGACGACAAGTACATATTACAATCTTGTGTATTGTATTGCTCGTTTTTTTGTGTGTGGTATGTATCTAAATCTTGAAACGAAAAACATCGACAGATGGCTCAAGATCATGTTATGACTAATATTTTTAGTTATACTTATGAGGATATATAAAAATCACGATACTTAAGGAATAAGTGTGAACACGAGATTGAGAACAATGGGTATAAGGATAATGTTTCCATATCAAAATCGAATTTGAGAGCTATACTTTCGTAAATTTGTGCATCGGGATAAATAGCGAATGAAACATGGCGTTTGTTTCTTTCATATGTTCCGAATATATTGGTTCTTGATTTTTTTCCTTACGAACTTTCAATTTATCACAGTGAACGAGGCTCCTATGTGTTGAAGCTTCGTTTTCTTTCGCAACATTTCACCGCAACCGTGCGAACAGTCAATGGTCTATTGAGATGTGGAACGTTTTTGAAATATCGAAGAATACAACATGACGTCCCGTAGTTACACAAAATCTTACAGCCGTAAGGTCAGCAGTGTGACACCTGGGAGCATTCAATTCGATAAGCTTTTTAGGGAGAACAGCAATCGACCTTCTGCTGCTAAATCAGCAGGCACTGTTGGAAAATGGGGTATTACATCTTTCACATCTATCAGAAGCACAAATATCAATGGTATGCTTTTCTCATTATCGATCATAGTTGCATGTATCATTATGTTGTATCGTAAATACTCACATATATTATATATATGTATATATGGATTAACAAATGTTCCTCGCACATTCAACATCTAATTAATGCAACATCAATGCGTAATTTGTAGAACTTATTTTCTACATTATATTTACATGTTTATATTTAAGTATAGTATTTAAAAAACTGCATGCTCTAAAATTTTATTTTGATAAAAATATTTGTTTGTGAATAGGAAGAAGAGATGATATACATAATACATTTGGTGCAAAGAGAATAAAGCTCGATTATGGAAATCAAAACGCTCGCGTTAATTCTGGAAAAGATCCGTTTTCGTTTGAAACTGATCCAGACAATAAGCCAGATGTAGCACCACCGGTTGTTAAACCTAAGAAGTTTTTTAAGAGTAGAAATGTTCCACCTCCGATAGAAGAATCTCGCCAGGATGTGGCAATATACAAACAAGTACCTGATTCACATTATGGACGAACACGTCCTCCAAAAGCGACTCTGCAGCCGCCTCTGCCACCAAAGCAATCTGTGACGAAAGTGTCGAATGCTCCGGCTAAAAAGATAACAGAAACTTTAGATGCAACCAATAACGATGTAACTCCTAGCAGGGAGGAAGGAAAGCCACCTATCGTATTGAGAATATGCAAAGGCACAGCACGATTAGTGTGTGCAAACGTTCAGCCTGCTCCAGATCCTGAACCTGAAACGTACAGAATTTCAACACCACTTATGAGTCCGACGAAAACGGATGTCGAACGTAAGAATGTTAATACGGACACGCTAAAATCTGATCATAAAACAGTCCGTTCTCAACAACCTATTGTTTCCACAGTTACAATACCATTAGAAAATTCCGAGATGAGAAGAACCACTCGTAGTCGAACCAAAAATCTGCATTTAGATTCAACACCATCCTCTGCTGTGTCCGCAACACCGGTAACTCCCAATTCGCATAGTTCTGGTCTTTCTTTAACGCTTAGAAAATCCGTCACCGATTCCAACAATACCTTAATATCACATTACGATATCGTTAAGACTGATTGTGGTTCAACATATGCCTGCAAGCCAGCAATCGAACCATTAATTGGGCGTGATCAACCACTGCCAACTACAACACAAGAACTGATCGACATATTGTCGAATGATTCTGATCCTCTGCAGACGAGACCAATGATAATAAATGCATCAGAAAACGAGGAAACTGTTGGAACCGTTCCGGACGAAGTTCAACACTGTTCGATAGATATTCCGACGAACGAGGTGATCTCGGAGCCTACTCCGCAGCCCGAACCGGCATCGCAACCTGAAACGGTTCGTATACCCGAACCGGAACCAGAACATGAATTGGAGCCAGAACACGAATTGGAGCCAGAACCGGAGCCTGAACCAGAACTAGAACCAGAACCAGATCACGAAGTAGAAACCGAACAACCACCTCGAGCTAGTGACAACGACACAGCTACAGCTAAAACCTTAGTCGATCAAGATTGGTTTTCTGGTAGCGACGATAGTGAAGGTATCAGTGGTAATGCAGAAAGTGACATAGCTTTACACGTAACAAGCACGGTAGTAGAGTCTCAACCCCAAAATGCACCATCTGCAGCTATTCAGAAACCTGCTACCAAAAAAGGTAGCATTTTTAAAAGTCGCTCTACAGGTGCAACAAACGGAAATAAAAGAAGGGCGCTGTATAAACATAAATGGTGTGATAGCGATAAAGAATCAAATACCGCAGATACTGCTACTGCGGGTAGTGATACACCAACTACTGCTTCAGGATCCCATAGCAATACCGGGCCTGTAGAATACGAGGAAGAATTCGACCCTTCGCAACTGACAAGAGTTGTCACATATCCTGAAACTGTTGCAGGTTTTGAGGATGAATCCGATGCTATAACTAGCATTCGTTGTGGCAAGAAAGTTAAGGGTGTATGTATATTAAACTAGGAATTGTTATATTGTTATTTTTTACTGTCTATTTTTTGTCTTTTGTATAACAAAGAGTTCTTTACCGTTGATCTCACGAAAAGCTAATTTATTAATTAATTAAAAAATATATATATATACTAATATGAGATTTACTTTTCAGTTTTACACTGTAGTAAAGAATGTAAAAAAAGCACATCAAATTCAAGAAAGTGGAGAATTTCAAGAGTTTAATGACGATGTTGAATATATATTAGACACTTTAAGGGAGAACAATCCGAATGCTACTCGTTGTCTTTCAGCTATACGATTAGCTAGCAAATGCATGGCACCCGCGTTTCGAATGCATGTACGTGCTCATGGCACAGTTGCCAAGTTTTTCAAAGCACTTCATGACGCGACCAAGGACCAGGTATTTATATTGTAAAGATTAAATTCAATTTTAATAATCTCTAACAAATATTATTATATATTTCTTTTATTTCAGAGCCTTGCTTTGTGTACAGCAACAGTAATGTTTGTATTAAGTCAAGACCGTTTAGCTATGGATTTAGATCGGGATTGCTTGGAATTAATGTTAAGTTTGTTAGAATCTGATGCCAGTCACAAAGATGCGCTCGACGATTGTGGCCTTAGCGGGGCTGAATTGTTAAAGAATAGAGAGAAAGTACGCCAATTATGTGCTGATATTCAAGCTCAAGGACACGCGAAACATTTAAATCTGGATAATATCACCGTAAATATATTTTTCTTATAATTTCCAATACGAAACTAGTGATAATTAAATCATTTATTTATTTACTCATATATTTTAGGTTGGTCAACTTGCTATGGAAACACTTCTCAGTCTTACATCGAAACGTGCTGGCGAATGGTTCAAAGAAGAACTTAGAGAATTGGGAGGATTAGAACACATTGTTAAAACAATCAGAGATTGTCACCGTCATATTAATGCTCAGGATATTACGAGATCTGGTTGGTCAGATCCTTTATTAGACAAATTACGTAAAGTTGATAGATGTCTACGTGTATTAGAAAATGTGAGTATAAAATAGATAGATAGATACATTGTGCTGTTAAAAATTATTATTAATGTATTCATATTGTCCCAGGTTACTCACATGAACGAGGAGAATCAAGTATATTTATTGAAATACGAAAATGGAGTTTTAGTCAGCACATTAGCAAATTTGTACCATCTTTGTGGACAAGAAATTCCTATTTATCCAACCATAGATCCGAGTGATAAAACTTCTACTGGTGCTGTTATTAGAGAGTGTCTGTTTGCTATTATTAAAGTCCTGATCAATCTCACACATCGATTCAATAGACAATGTAAGCCCTCGTTATTATAATCTTTGGTTTCTTAATCTTTATGTTTTATAATATTCGCACTTTTTCAGCTTTCGGAAGCAAATCAGTAGGATCGCAAACAGGAGTTCTGGATTGCAGTTTGTACCTTTTGTTACGCGTTCCCGAGTCACTTCCTGAAGAGAAGCGTTTCGATATGATGATGTTGGCATTGATTCTGTTGATAAATTTAGTAGAACAATGTGATGATAACAAACAAATTCTTATCGATTCAAAAGCTCCCCCGTCTCCAGAAAATATTTTTTATGGTAAATATACTATATATTTTAGCTGTAGCGTACATTCTTATGATGATCGGAATTTATTATAATTTATTTTTTTCGTTTAGCATCTGAAGAAAGCGGAGTAGAATCTTTAATCGACCTTTTCTACAAACAAGAGGAATTAGCACGTGCTGAAGAGCAAAAAACAAATGCTATTTTAGACGGGGAAAAAGATAGCGAGCAAACGGAGACTGTGTCGACTACAACTAAATCTCAGGAGGAATTTATTGAAGAAACTGTTACGAAATGTTCGTATAATGTTACTAAACAATACCATAAAGTTGTTGAGAAGAACAACGCGCGAAGTATATTTTTTCTTTTTCAGTATTGCAAAAGGCGGGTCGCCACATGGAACATACTTTAATTGGAGCGTACGTTGTACTCCTACTTGGTTACTTAATAATGGATAATAAGGTGAGTAAATAGTAAACGAAACACTGATGGATCATGGACATAGTATACTAATAAAATGTTTATTTCTAGGATTATGAATCGTTGGTACGAAGTAGACTTCCAGATAATAATTTTACCGCTATGGTGTCTGTACTTCAGAAATTTTTCAATTTCATGAATCTAACGGCATCGGTAACTACTCGAAATATTTCTAATTACTCTCATTCGTAATCGAATCAAGCTAAGCATAAATGTAATTTATTTTTTATAGAATGAAGTAAGTAGTTGCGGAATCGCTGCTACTGAAAAGGTGATTAAGTTCCTAAAAATGTCGGATGCCAGAGTCGAGGAAGAGAAAAATGAATTACCATTACCAGCATTAGAAGATCCAAACATAATGCTTGATTTGTCTTCGTCTTGATTGATATATTTTACAAACACTTCACGTTTTTTATTACCCTGGCAAGCAAAAGGAGCCAAAGTTATATGTGTCCAACGAAGGGAATTTCTATCGCAGTATGGATGGACCTGTTTCATATTGACCATATATTTTGATATATATTTATTCACTTACGTAATTTATTGCTGTACCTTTCATTAAATTGTCTTATTCCTCCCTAGTACCAGTAACACAGTTAGATACTAAGTGTAAGTTGTTAATTAATCGCGCAGAGAAACTAATATCATAAGAGACGCGCTTTGTAATTACGCATACAGCTTACTTAAGTTCTTGGCTGGCGTGTATGTATTATTATCAATTAACTGATTTAGCAAATCGATCATGTCTTGTTTACTTTTATGAAGGTCTGTCTGACGAAAACTACGAGAACATACAGTGTACTTGCCGGATTTTTAATTCGTTTGCTGTAAAATAACGCATAAATTCCCAAATTTTACCGATTACTTTTAATCTACCTTGTAAGCTCTTAATTACGTAATTGGCGGGGTGTTGGGGTTTATTACAACCCGATTAAAATTTTCGAGATAGCATTATTATATAAGTTCATTTTAATATTAAAGATTATACCATAAGCCTTGTAAATTAAAATTTATAAATTATAATTGTATCTTAAATTCACAGTTTCCGAGTTATTGGATCCCATTAACAGGCGCATGATTTCACAAAACACTTTTAGTCGCGTGTTTTGCCTGATAAAATAAGGGAAAAAATCAGAGATATATATTACATTGTTATGAATATGCAATAAACTAGCTTCGAACGCTATGGACTTGTAAAATAAAGCATTTTTTTAATAAACGTTCAGATACGTTGTGCATTAGAGGACTTAAAACAGTGTCTTACTTTCAGTCACCCCTTAATTTTCTATTAATAATAAATATAAATAAAAAAAAGCAATTTACACGCGTTCATTATTTTGAATTGAATATTTCGAGAAATATTTCGATTAAAATTATCACTCATTGCTAACTTCAAGGATGTTCTACAGCTGAATGATACCAACCTGCACCACACTTCAATTCCTTATATTTACACTATAATAATTGTGTACAATAATCGCATTAAATTTATGAAAACTAATGTTAAGATAAGCATATCATTAATAAATGATATCTATGTATA